AAAAAGGGATCAATGAAATCATACACATCTCTACCACTACTACGCAAAGCATGCACAGCATGACAACAAGAAAAACAATTCAATTGCCATTCAAGGCAAGAACAAGTCTGTCTACCAATATCAACATAAAAAGAAATAGAAGAATGAACCTCAAGCATAGTATCACTAGCAACAATCACATCCCAAGACGTAGCTAGCTCCAAAGAGTCCACCAACTTCTTTTCCTTAACAGGACACAATTTCGTAGTCCATCTTTTAGATTCAGCTTTTCTATTCGACAATTGAGTCATGATTTGAACCCTAATCATATCAACTATACAAGTAATAGACAACTCACGGGCCCCACCAATCCAATTATTGTAAGACTCGGCAGCAGTAGATGACATCTCACCATATCGTTTCCCTCTAAAAAATGCATTCGCCCACTTATCATTTTGCAAACCATCCAACATACTATCAACTCTACCATTCCCAGCAATACGCCTCAATTTCTCCATGTAATGTTGGAAAGAAGCAACCGTTGGCGCATAAGCACATTTAACTAATATTTTCATCAAACTCAGCTTATAGTTAGTACGAAGTCCCACCAATTTGTTAATCAAATTTCTCTTCAAATGATTCAAGCAATATGCATGATGTGCATTGGGAAAAACCACTGAAAGAGCGTCTAGCAATCTATGTTGACGGTCTGACACAAAGGTCAATCTCCGGCCTGAACCAACACCCTTTAACAACTAACTTAAGAACCACATTCAATTATCTTGATTTTCAGCGTCAACAATCGCAAAAACCAAAGGAAATAGACCTGCAAACAACATAACATCAAGCTGCAAAAATTAGCAGACTCACAATACAATAACACACTGACAAACCAAACCTATACTAACTGCAAATAAATACATACCTTGATTACCATCCTTTGATGTTGCTGCAAGCAAATGCCCCTTGTAACGCCCCTTCAAGAATGTACCATCAACAAACAATAACGAATGACAAAATTGAAAGCCATACAAACATCCATGAAATGCCACAAACAACCTCCGAAAACACGCACTACTTTCATCCACATCTAATTCAAACACACTTCCCGGATTCATTCTCATAGCCGTCTCAAGTTACCATCGAAGTTGGTCAAAAGAAGTTGCAAAATCACCTAACAACCCACCTCTTGCCTTATCAACTCCTAACCATGCAACCCGATAAGAAACATCTATACCATATTGCTTCTTCAACTTTTTTTTAACTTCAATAGGACGAGTCAACGAATTATCACTAATATCATTTTGCACAATATCAGACACAAGTCTAGAACCAACCATTTTGCTACAAGATCTACGAGCCACAACCCCACAAGTATGCACATTATCCAACTTCATTATAAAAAAAATACCGAAATTCATCAACACCCTTCCATGCACAAACCATTTACAACCTGTGGACGACTTCATCATACATTCAGCAGTTACTCTTATTGCTTCGTTCTTCAAATAATTCACTGCAAAACCACACTCAACTGCATACTTAGCCAATGCAATGCGGAACGCCGGTACTCCACCTTCAAATTCTTAACCAACACTATGTATAATCCCCTTCCAACTAGCAGACAACAAAACTCTCTCTGGTCCTGGATAAAAACTAGGCAACAAACCACCAAAATCATCACAATTGTTAACCAAAGAACTCTCACCAATTACAGAATCAATCCTACAAGAATTACCATCATTAACTTCCACAATTCTCTTATCACCCACAACAACATCAACAACATGACAATCACTGCCACCTACCATTGACAGCATATTCTACAAATCATCATCACATTCAACAATACAATTAGAATATCCAACAATAGAGAAAAACAAACAAAAGTTACCAACACTCAACTCCTTGAACTTCGCACATATTTTCTCAACAACTTCATCATAACTGCATCCCTCACTAATCTTAATAGCAGCACAACAATTACTGTATTTGCACATTAACATGAAATACTCCTCCATACTACAAAATCACAAACCAACAAACAATTGTTCACAGATTCCAAACTGCAAAATTATACAGTTACAATATATCAGTACCAACACTGCACAATTCACAATTCCAAACTGTAAAATTATACACTTATAACATATCAGTATCAAAACACCATAATTCACAATTCCAAACTACAACTTCAAAACACATTACACTATACAACAAACAAAATCAACAAAATCAAAATCATTACACTATATCACATACAAAAATAAAATAAAATAAATATCAACAAACAAAATTTATCACAAAACAAAGAACTAAAACAATATTGCCAAACACAAACCAGATATCACGCAAATTTGCTTATCTATATATACATACATATATGTATCGACAGATACAAACCAGATACACAAAGAGAGAGAGAGAGCGAGAGAGAGAGAGAACGTACGCAGAGATTGCCTGTACACAGAGATTCAGATCGCACAACCAGATCCACCTCACAACACAATGAGATTGACCACACAGCACAATGAGATCGCCATAACGAAGAGAAATCGAGATCGCAGAGACTAAGATTTGATTTTCTGTTTTGAACGGAGCAAAAATTTGATTTTTCACGTATATATAGATCTCAAAACAATGGGTAATACAGTCATTTACAAAATACGAAAATAAAAAACGGGACCTCTGGATATAAAACTTAAAAACTATGGACCTATTAATCTATTAAAAATATATTGGGATTAAAAGGGAAATAGATCCCCTACATAGGACTACATAGTAATTTTCCCAATATTTTATAACTAACACTAGTGTTTTTGTTGGGCTTTAAGTTTTACATGGACGCACCGTGTAGTCCAATTTTACGGTAAACCAATATAAAATTGCCACGTAACCAACTAATTGTTTTCCTATCCCTTCCCCTCATGTTCGCAAAACTCAAAACAAGTCAATTTTTTCTTCCACCATTCACCACGACCACAAAGCAACATTGCAATTTCGTCTCTTTCAACTGTGTAAAAATCAAAAGAGACTCTCAAACCTAAACACTCACAACCCTCACTATCAACCACCGTCACATCCCTTTTTGATACCGAAATTTTATGGTGCTCTGTTTTTGTGGTGGTTGTTGGAATGTGAAACTTCAGTTGAGAAGGGTATGATTTCGATTGTCTTTTGGATATTTGATAACAACAAACAGTTTGCCTCTATCTATTTGTTTCTATATTAATGGACAACAAAAGCAAATCCCCCATCCTAAGATACACATACGGATCTCATTGAGACCTAGAGGAGAAATTTAATCTTGGTAGTAGGATGAGAGAGATGGGTTTTACTGATGAAAGGGTTGGAGAGATGGGTCTTTCTATGCGTTTTTGTTTTTAGCATCGAAAAATAGAATGAAAAACACATTTTTCTTGTCAGCATCTTCATTTTACACCGGAAATATTGTAGGTTGCGTTTGGTAAAATTTTGTAAATATGATTTGAGAGTATGAGCTGTATTTTGAGTTTGTGAGTTTTGGAATTATGATTTGAGTGTGAAAAATTTGTTTGGTAAAAGAGTTTTGAAAAGAATTTTGAATTAAGTGGGGAATTTTTGATGTGACATATGATATTTGATACAAAAACTTACAACTCCTAACTAAACATACAAATCAAAATTCTATTAAAGCACATAAAAGTTTTTAAAAAATTCAAAAAATATTTTTTTCGAATATATAAAAATTAAAATATATCAATTGCAAAAAAAAAAAAAAAAAAATTTCCACTATTCCAGTCAACCGGCCGGACGACTGGTAGGACGACCGGTTAGGCCAAATTTAAAAAATATATATATTTGAAAAACGCACCCCAAACAAAGTTTTTAGCAAAGTTGTGGAAATGTGATTTGAGAATTCCAACCAAACATCATATTGGAATATAAGTGTATAATCATTGTTTGAAAACACAACCAAACACAGCCTTAAAATCACATATTAAAAAATATAAATAAAACACCCTAAACGCAGGCCCGGTCCTGAGATTTTCGAAGCCCAAAATCAATAATCAACTAATAAATTTTTGGGGCTCTTCACATTTTTTTTTCATTGAATAAAAAAATTTTTAAAAGTAAAAGACAAAAGATTTATGTCAAAATCACAAAAAATATTTAGCATTACATTACAACAACTAATAAGTGTCGCTTGATCCTCCCTCTTCTTGTATTTATAGAAGCAAATAAATCAATCATACTTGCATAATCTAGTTTTTTTTGCAAAATTATTTTCAATGGATAACAATGCTAATTATTTTAAATGGGCCTTTCAATTTTTTAATGGATTAATTTATTTACGTTAGTTTGGGCTTTCCTTAATTTTTTTTGGATTTAAAACATACCTAATATATTACAATTTACACTAAACTATATACGAGGGGACCTTTTTTTGGGTCTATTTTCAATGGATTACAATGTTAATTTTTTTAAATGAGACTTCAATTTTTTAATTGGTCAATTTATTTTAAGTTAGTTTAGATCTTTTTTAATTTTTTTTGAACTTAAAACATACCTAAGATGAGACTTTTTTTTTGGATCTATTTTAAGGAGTCCTATACCGTGACCTGATGGGCCTATGCCAAGGCCAGCCTACCTAAACGATACGTGCGATTTAACTCCACTCAATCCTAATTCTATTTCCAACCCAACTCTAATCAATCCTAATTCTAAGTAACTCTAGTCGTCTTTGTTCAATATTTGTTCTCCTCTAGGATAGTTATACAATAAAACAACCCTCAGGAAGCAAAAGAGAGAGAACAAAGACGACTATGCGAAAGAGAGGAGCAATACTAGGTATCATGAATTTTTTTTTATGAAAATGATCATGAAAGATTTATGACTCTTGGATTACACTTAAAATAAAGTACCACACACTAATCAAGGTAATCCAAGGGTCATAAATCTTTTATGATCATTTTCATGAAAGTTTTTTCATGATCCTTAGCTTTTCTCGACAGAGAGAGACAAAAAAAAGCAGAACAAAGATGACGATGTTGATATCATCGTCATCATCTGTGAATATCCCTCTTCATATCCTCTTCACCGAGATCTTCACCAGACTACCTGTCAAGTCTCTCTGCCGATTCAGGTGCGTCTCTAAATCAATCCAATCTTTAACACTCAACAACAACGACCCTTTCTTTCTGGATCTCCACCTCTCTCGTTCCCAAACTCGTCCACGAGGCACCACTCTTCTCATCCCTGCAATCCGCTCAGGCAATTCCTATGAAATATTATCAGCAGAAGTCGATGGAGGACCACTCACTCACCTCTACACCATCCCTGGTGGTTATGATTGCCATCATCGCACCTTCTCTTCCGACGTTAATGGCTTGCTCTTTTTTTCCGGTGACAGTTATTCCAACACATGCCCTTTCGTTTGCAATCCCACCACCCGACAATTCCTCATACTCCCTCCAATCGAAAGCGGCTATCAAGTCATACGTTATTTTCTTGGCTTTGATCCATCCACCAGGATTTTCAAAGTTGTCAACATTCACATTTACCATGAGTCTGATATGATGGTGTGCCGGGTTTTCACATTGGGCGGCGACAATAGTGGTGGTTCATGGCGGACAATCCATCCCGGTTTTCCATTTGAAGGATGTGATTGGTTGAGAAATTCGAGCAAAAGTGTTTGTTTAAATGGTGCAATACATTGGTTTCTTGAAGCAAAGAATGTCATCGTGGCCTTTGACTTGAAAGATGAGAACTTCTATATAATTCCACTCCCCAACCATGGCGGTGTTGTTCAACCTCGATTATCCGAAACTGTTCTTATTCAAGTGAATGGATTTTTGGCTGTCATTTGTTACGATTATCGTCATTTTAGTGGAAAGATGGAGATGTGAGTGTTACCAAAGACATGCTTGGATCAACCATATTATTGATTTGACGTCTACTTGCTCCAACTATCAATTTTTTCGTCCTCTTGGTTCTATACCTACTGGTGAGATCTTGCTTTTGCCTTGTGACAATGTTTCTTCGCTGGTATCTGAAGTTCGTGTGCTTTATTATGATATGAAGAACAGAAGTTTTAGAACCATTGAAATTATTCAACCCCCTAAAGGGGTTTGTTGGTATGTCATTAATTATTTTTGCATGACAAGTTATACTGAAACTCTGTTTTTCCCGAGGGGTGATCAATAAGAATGTATTTGAATTTAGAATTTGAGGCAAGTTTATTGTTAGGGAAAATAGATAATTTTCTACAAGTAAATCAATCAAAGAAATAAAAATTAATGTGAAAAAATTAAATCAATAATGACACAAGAATTTTTACAAGAGTTTTTATTTAGTTCTCTTAATGTGAGGTACGTCTACGAGACCGAAATCCGAATCTACTATCAACCAATAATTTTCAAACGATTGGAAACAAGAGACAAATAGTCTCACAAACCATCCTTAGTTGAATTCCAAATAATCACAAATAAATAAGAGAAAATATCTCACCAAATAGATAAACAAAAGTAAATAAGAGAAAATATCTCACCAAATAGATAAACAAAAGTTTTCAAAACAAAGTTAAAGAAGACCTAAAATAATGAACCAATACCAACACCTTCAATGCTAAGCCGAAGTTGTCAAAAAAAAAAAAAAAAAAAAAAGCCCCTAAATAGTGCTTCAAATCTTTTGCAGAAGAAATAGCAAAGTAAAGCCCCCAAAGCAAATACACAAAGCCACTACTTTAACCAAAATTAAACCACCGAATTTTACATCAATATTATAGCAGCCGCAACACACGTAGGGCAAAACAAAACAATAACAAAAAATATTGTTGATTCTTGAGGTTTTTTTTATTAAAACCCTAGCTGATACCAAACTAATTTTTAAATACCCATTGCACCTCCAAAAATCAAATATAATATATAAAATATATTATAACCAACACCAAATCAAAATATTTTTAATAAACAAATTAGGTCTCATATTCCACTAAGGAGGTATACCCAACAATTCTTTCCCTTACCAACTTAGGTGGAGACATCAACCATATCCGCAAAAATTTGACACTTCAAATGTTTGTCCCTCGACAGAATCTTAGTTAACATATCCGAAATATTATCATCTGTGTGAACCTTTTCGAGTTATAACAATTACGAATCTAACACATTGCGAATCCAATGGTATCTCACATCAACATATTTTGATCTCGAATGAAAAGTAGAATTTTTACTCAAATGAATAGTACTTTGACTATCACAATTAAAACACATACATTTCTTGCTTCAAACTCAACTCTTGTAAAAATTTCTTCAACTATAACTCTCTTTGCAAGCTTCCACAATGGCTATAAATTTAGCTTTCGTAGTTGAGATAACAACACATTTTTGTAATTTAGATTGCCATGTCACAGCTCTCCCTGCAAAAGGTCATCAAATATCCCGAAGTAAATTTTCTAGAATCAACATCACCGGCCATGTCGGAATCTATGAACCTATCAAGTATCAGCTTACCATTCTCAAAACAAAAATACATTTTCAAAGTCCCTCGAAGATACCTTAGAATCCACTTCACCGCTGCCCAATATTTTTTTACCCGGATTAGAGAGAAAACGACTCACCACACCAACGGCGTGAGTAATATTCGGCCTTGTATAAACCATGGCATATATCAAAGAACCGACCGCTGATGCATAAAGAATTTTTGGCATCTATTCCTTGTCTTTCTCACTTGTAGGACATTGATTTGAACTAAGTTTGAAGTGACCCACAAGTGGACAAACAACCGACTTTGCTTTATCCATGTTGAACCTCTCAAGAACTTTTTTAATGTAGCTTTCTTGAGACAACCGAATCAGTCCATTCTTTCGATCACGAATAATTTTCATATTAAGAATTTGCTTTGCCGGTCCCAAATCTTTCATAGCAAATGACTTGTTCAAGTCCAATTTCAACTTATTAATCATGGAAGAATCTTGACTTACAATTAACATGCCATTAATATAAAGTAAAAGAATAATAAATTTGTCATCCGAATTTTTTTTCACAAACACACAATAATCTAAAATGGTTTTAGAAAAATCATTATTCATTATGAAAGAGTCAAATTTTTTATACTATTGTCGTAGGGCTTGCTTGAGGCCTTACAAACTTTTCTTCAATTTGCAAACAAATTTCTCTTTCCTTTTTTCCACAAAACCATTCGGTTGCTCCATGTAAATTTCTTCTTCAAGATCACCATGAAGAAATGCGGTCTTCACATCAAGTTGTTCAACTTCAAGATTCATACTTGCAGCCATGCTAAGTACAACCCGACTAGAAGACATCTTCACGACCGGCAAAAAAATTTCATCAAAGTCCACACTTTTCTTTTGGCCAAAGCCTTTGACAACAAGACGTGTCTTGTAGTTTAGATTCTTGCCATCATTCTTCAACTTGAAAACCCACTTATTTTTCAGAATTTTCCTCCCCTTAGGCAATTTCACCAAATCATAAGTGTGATTTTTAAATAAGGAATTCATTTCCTCTTCCATGGCTTTTTTCTAATCACCTTTCTTTGCATACTCAATTGCTTCTTGGTAGCTCTCGGGCTCCCCTTGATCTGATATCAACACAAATTCATTGAGAGGATGCTTTTTCGAAGGTTACCGGTCCCTTATAGATTTTCTCAACTCAAGTTTTGGTGGCGATTCTTGAATTGGATGCTCTTCCTCAATTTGGGGCTCAACTTCATTAGAATTAGCATCATCCTTCACATCTTCAATAACTGGCTGCACATCTCCCCCATTTTCATCATGTACCGAAGACGAAGGAGATAGATCAATGTTAAAAAAAATTACTAGTTTTTGGCTCTGATTGATCACCTTTGCCAAAGTCTTCAATTGTTTCGTTTTCAAGAAACACAACATCACGGCTTGGAATAACTTTCTTGTCAACCGGATCTCACAATCTATAACCAAATTCATCACGCTCATAACTAAAAAAAAAATGCATTGTCTTGACTTACTATCAAGTTTGGACCTTTCATCCTTTGGAATGTGAACAAAGGCTCGACAACCAAACACTCTAAGTACTCATAAGACACATCTTTGTCAGTCTAAACTCTTTCGAGAACATCACCATTCAAAGGATAAGACGAAGACAAATTGATCACGTCAACCATTGTCCTCCTTGCCTCACCCAAAAGGATCTTAGCAATTTAGCATGTAAAAGAAGACACCTTGTGTTTTCCACGATGGTGCGGTTCATCCTCTCTGCAACCTCATTTTATTGAGGAGTCTTTTTAGCTGTCTTTTGGTACCAAATACCTTGGCTATGACAATACTCATCAAATGGCCCAATATATTCACCACCATTGTCTGTTCGGATGCATTTCAATTTTTGCCCTGTTTCTCTTTCAACCATGGCCTGAAAATACTTAAATATATCTAGAACTTAATCTTTAGTTTTTAGTGCAAAAGCTCAACCTTTCCTTAAATAATCATCAATGAAAGTAATAAAATAAAGTGCACCACTATCTGTTCTAACTTTTAAAGGACCACTAACATCCGAATGAATCAACTCCAAAATATTTTATTTTCTAAAAGCAACATTTTTATAAAAAAAAAAACTATGTTATTTACTCGCCAAACAATGAATACAAGTTTTAAGATGCATACTTTTCAATCCTAGTAAAAGCTCTTTCTTGAACAAAACTTGCAGCCATTTTTTCACTCATGTGCCCAAATCGCTTGTGTCACAATTCGGTAGAAGTATCATTCTCAAGTGCATTGATAACACCTTTACAAATCTTTCCTTGCATCGAATAAAGTGTGCGAGTCTTTTTGTACTTGGCCACCACCAAAGAACCCTTTGTGAGCTTCCATTTTCCATCACCAAATTTGTTGTTGTAGCCTTCATCATCTAACTTCCCGATAGAGATCAAATTGAGGCGAATGTCGGGAATATGCCTCACATCTTTAAGCAATAATTTGCAACCCAAATTTGTTTCCAAGCAAACATCACTTATGTCAATAATCTTGTACAAACCTTCATTACCCATTTGAATATAACCATAATCTCCTTTGGTGTAGGAAGTAAAGAAATCAACTTGAGAAATCACATGAAAAGAAGCACCGAAATTAATCACCCAATTGCTCTCTTGGCCCACAAAATTGACACAATTATCTTCACAAACAACCATGAGATCACCATCGGTAATAATTGCCGTTGTGTCTTCTTACTTCTTATCCACACTTTTGTCACACATTTTCTCTTTATTCTTGAGCTTTCGGCATTACCGCTTCATGTGCCCTGTGCCATTTCTCATGGCAATAATGGCACTCAATCTTTTTCTTTGAAAAGGAACCATCTCTCAATTTGTCACGGCTTTTATCACAACCATGAGGAGTTTTACTCATCCCCCTTGTTTTGTTTCGGTCTCTTCCAACAAATGCCTCTGAATGAGAAGAACCCGCTAATTTTCTTCTAATTTCTTCATTCAACAAGCTACTAGTGGCTTGGCTCATTGTGACAACTTCATCGGGCACCAAATTACTAACTGTCACAACCAAAGTCTCCTAACTTTCAAAGCCTGCAACTCATCATCAAAAACAATTTTCATAAAAGCAAGTTGGTTAACAAAACTCTTTATTTCATTCAAATGTTTCGGAATGGGGTTGCCATATTTATATTTTAAATTAATCAACTTTCGAAACAGAAAAATTTTATTTGTGGCTGATTTTTATCATAAAGACCTTTTGATTTTTTTTCTTAAATCATGTGCCAAAGTTTCAGTAATAACATAATGAAACACACTGTCATCGATCCACTGATGGATAACACCAATGTCTTTTCGATTAAACCTCTTCCATTAATCATTTTTCATACCTTTGGGTTTGCCGCTATCATCCTCAATGGATCCATACAAA